AAAAAAAAAAAAAAAATTTACAAATCCCTAGAAAGATTGATCAAGGAAAAAATGGAACACATTATTAATACCACTAATGAGAAAAGGTGTCATCACTAGAAATTCATACAAATATTAAAGAGACAATGAGAAGATGTTATGAATAACTTTGTGCCAATATATTTTATAATTTAGATGAAATGGACAAATTCTGTTTTAAAAAATCATAACCTGAAAGTATTGACTCTAGAAGAATTATAAAGCCTTAATTATCCTATTTACTAAAACCAAACATTGCATTCCCATGACCTAGCAATTCTACTTTAATAGATATGCCTACCTAGATGCATGGAAAGATGTGTGAAAAATGTTCACAGGGACACTTTCCCTAGTAGATAAAAACTAAAAACTACCCAAATGTCCCTCAATAGTAGAAAGGCTAACTATATCATGGTTACAATGGAATATTATATACAACAGTGTAAAAACTGAACAGGCAACAACATGGATGAATTTCACAGACACTAATGTTGAGTGAAAAAAGTTAGATACAAAAAGATACATACAGTAGTTCCCCTTTATCTGCAGGGGATATGTTCCAAGACCCCCAGTGGATGCCTGAAACCATGGATAGTACCAAACCTACATATAGTATGTTTCTTTTCCTATACATACATAATGAAAAGTTATGTGAATGTGGTCTCTCTCTCTCTCTCTCTCACACACACACATACACACACACAATACAAAATAGCTTATTGTATTGTACTCACCCTTCTTCTTGTGATGATTGATATGAGATAATAAAATGATACATAATAAGATGAAGTGAGGTGGGATGCCAGCATTGTGATGTAGCATTCAGCTATTATTGACCTTCTAAGACTATGTCAGAGGGATTATCTGCTTCCAGACCCCAGGTGAGCATGGGCAACTGAAACCACAGAAAGCAAAGCCTCAGAAAGCAAAACCATGGATAAGAGGGTGGGGTGTGGGGCATCTCCTGAACTGTGTCATTCCACTTATATGGCAACACGGATCTATTTTCGATAGAACACAGATGTTGACTACTCTATGGAGATAATGTTGGGCAGGGCATACAAGAGGCTTTAGGAGTGTGTGCAGTGTTCTCTATCTTGATCAGAGTATGTTCACTAGGTAAAAATGTATCAGGAGGCATCCTCCATATTGTGTACTTCTCTGAATGTGTAATGACTTCACTTTTTAAACTTACAAATAAATACTAAGTAAGCCTCTGATGCAATTTTGTTTCTAGGACTTTGTCTCTTTCTAACAAAAAGCAGACAGCAGTATAATATTTAACCCCCAATATACTCTCACAAATAGAACTTGAGAGCATTTTAAGAGCTTCCAACCTAAGATCATGCTTTTCCTATACCTTTATTGGAAGAATGATTTCTCTTCTGCTTGGGAATAAACAATTCTCTATATTTGATGGGTCTACAGCATAACAAGGACAGAATGTAAGATTAGAAGAAAAGGGGTTTACCCTATCCTATAAGCTCTATCAGAGGGATCAGCCCATGAAAGGAAAGGCATGCCTAATGGAGGGGCCAGTGACCGATTCTGAACTTTCTAACTATTGGGCTTGCAAAAATGGGTATTTACAATGGAACCATCCAAGCATTCAATATTCAGTGTACTCTTCACTCCTAAAGGATTGGATGACTGAAGGGTGCCTTTCACACCAGAGGGGTGGACACTTTTGCAGAACGATGGGATTCACCAGACAAGTCCTCCCACAAAATAGGGATTTCTGGAGAGGAAAGAAAATCTCACTGGAAACAAATTAAAAAGGTAAAAAGATAAAGCTGTTTTTGCCATGGTAACTAAGGTTTGCCCATACCTAGATTTATTTCCTTGACTGAAGTGGCTTTGTGGGTGTAAGTGATTTTTGAAGAGCAAATTAAAAAGACTTTTTATAAGTCCCGGTAGACAACAACATAGTATTAGCTAATGGCACTTGCCATCTCTAAAATAATTACTTTTGTAATAATCTGTTTATTAATGAGGTGATCTACAAAGTGGATAATAGTTTCTTAAGATTTCAGGCACAGGATTCTTCTTTCCAGTTCATTTTGCTTTTTTTGCAAAAGTACACCATGAAGTAACTCAAAATTTGCTGACAGATTTTAAGTACAATAATTTCAGAAATGCATGTTCAAGCAGGTTGAATAAACCCATATTTCTTATATTGTGCCCTTAAATTATTCCCTCTGGTGATGGAAATGTTCTAAAATTGCTTGTGGTTGATGGTTGCACATCTCTGTAAATTTACCAAAATTGATTGAATTGCACACTTAAAATGGGTAAATGTTATGGTCTATAAATTATAACTCAATAAAGCTGTTTTGGGGGAAAAAAGCAATTGGACATTTAAAAAATTATTTCCTGTTTCCACTCTTTTGTCAGAGGAATGTTGAGCGTTGAGAAGGGAACATTCTGGGGAAAGATGGCAACTATACAAAAGGTAGATGCAAGACGGAGAAAAGAAGATCCAAGAGTCCTAGTGGCCACAAGCTAAACAAAGAACACAAGTGAGCAGCAGAATGTTACTTTTAAGAAATCAAGCCTCCTATTGGGAAATGTTCTAAAAGCAGCACTTTCTTGTCCTAAGGCCAGAGTTCTGGCAGAAAAACAGGGTCCAGGGTACTCCCAAACGCAGCACTTCTTCATTTGCTACTCCTGCTAATTCCTTTTATCTTTGTTAATTACCACTCTGTTTAGTCCTTGGGTTACTATTCCTGCTACGTCCTTTTATCTTCATTGATTACCACCTTGTTTATTCCTTATGTTGTCTGGTAAAGCCTAGCACCCACAGGCATGTGGACTGGACCTCTATGAGGGCAGGAACTGTGTTGTATTCCTCCTTGGATCCAGGGTCAGTGAAAACCCCAGCCAGTGCCAGGCACAAAATAGGTATTTAGTAAGAACAGTTTCTGCCTTTCCAGCCCAGTGTACAAACAAGTTGTCCAAAACCTTTCCTTCTAGACTCTAAGGTGCCCAATCAATACCACCCTTATAGCATAAACTTGATGAAAGTTGCCATGGCACTGGCACGTGAACGATCTAGAAACAACCTGCCCGGAGGGCCAGCTGGATCCCAGCAGTTGAACTGGAGCTGAACTCCACCGACTGGAGGCCCTTCCCCCCTCTGCAGCCATCCAGCCCCTGCTCAGCATCCCAGTCAGTTCACGGCCTCTGCCCCCAGCCAAGCCTTTCCTGCACCCAGTGGACTCTCTTGCTGGAAAACAGTTCCAGGTGTCATTGGGGACCCCCTCCCCAACAGGTGCCCAAGCCTCTCTCCAACGAGGCTGGGCTCAGTTCCCACCCAGGGCCCAGGCCGGCCCAGCTGAGCACAGTGAGAACTGGGCTACAAGTGGAGTTCCTGATGGTCAACAGGGAGCATATGAGAAGGATGACCAGAGAAAGACATCACAGGCTCATTGTCACACTCATTGTCCCAGAGCAGCAGCTAGTCACAGAGCCGGGACGAGAACCCAGGGCCCTCGACTTTGGGCCCAGTCTCTGCCATGGGTTGGTCAGGCTCTGAGCCTCAGGGTCTCATCTGTAAACAGGGCACTGGCTTGTCTCTCTCTCAGTTTTGCCGTGGGAGACAAGGCTGTGGATATTCAGATGCTGGAAGAAACATCCCAGCACAGAAGGCCTGCGCAGGTGATGCCTCCAGTGCTCACCTCTGCAGGGCCTGAGCGCCAGTTTCGGGGGCAGCAGGTTTCAGCCAGACGCGGCCGCGTTTGCACCTGTCCTGGGACCTAAATGCCTCCGTCGCAGAGGTGCTCCTGATGCCTTGCTGAATCACGAGGTTTCTAACCTGCGTTTTGGGGAATCTCTTTACACTCTCCCTGACAACGCTGTTACTTTGGGTTAAAAACAAACTTTTGCAGCTGTGTAACCTTTAGTCGACAAAGATTGTCAGATCTGAATTCAGAAAATAACACTGTTCCAAACTCCTGTAGCTGAGAAAGCCCAAGGTGACAAAATCCAGGAGGGGGAATTGCTGTGAGCGGGGGATGCTGAAGGGAAAGCAAGGGAGGCTAGTTACATTTCATACTAGCTGGAAATGTCTGACTTCTGTGACATTTTGGAAAAACAAGCTTCAATAATGTCACCACTAAATTAACACCATTAAAGAAAAGTGATTATTAGTGTTGAGAATTATGGGCTCTAAGAATAATACTACGTACAGTACAGCATCAGAGTGGTTAAAATCCCAGCTTCTAGAGTCAGCCCCTAGTTCGAATCTCCGCCGCCCTGTTTTACCCTGGCAAGGTGTATCACTCAACCTTCCTGCAGTTCTGATTCTCCATCTGTTAAGTGGAAATAATGCCCAAACCATCAAGATAGTGAGGGAACAAATTAAATGAGACCATATACAAAGGGCTTGTAGTCGACAGAATAATAACCCCCCCACACAAGATGTCATTGTCCCATTCCCCCAAACCCATGAATATGGTAGCTTACATGGCAAAAGGAACTCTACAGATGTGATTAAGCTAAGGACCCAGAGATGGGGAGTTGAATTTAGATTATCTGGGTGAGCCCAATATAATATAACCACAAGAGTCCTTCAGAGAGGGAGGTAAGAGGATCAAGATCAGAAGAGATACGTTACCAGAAGCAGAGAGAAAGATAGATAGAAGAGTAGACAGAGATTTGCAGATTCTACACTAACTTTAAAGATGCAGGAAGGGGCCAAAAGCCGAGCAAGCCAGATGGGCTCCTGAAGCCAACAAAGGCAAGAGAAAGGATCCTCCCCTAGAGCCTCCAGAAGGAATGCAGCCCAACAGACAACTTGATTCTGGACTTCTGACCTCCAGAACTGAGAGATAATACATTTGTATTGTTTTAAGCCTCTAATTTTGTAGTAATTTGTTACGTCAGCAAAAGGGACCTAACACAGGGCTTTTGAGCCCACTTAGCACTGGGACTGGCACATTTTAAGTTCTCAAAAAATGACAGCTGGTAATAGTAGTTATTAATATGTGGAGGGACTTCATGATTTTTCTGTGGCGAAACACCTTTCATCCCTCCCATGATGTCCCACTGAGGGACTTTCTCTCTCCACTCGGTCATGGTCCATCGACAGGCGCTCCTACCTCCCAAGCAGCCCATCCCTTGGGGCTGCTCTGAGATGGCTGTAGGGAGTTCATTCTCACACGGACCTGAAATCTGTGCATCAGACCCCTATGAAATCTGCCTGGGCCTCTCTGCTCCTGACACCCTTCAGATAACCACAGACAGGTCTCAGCTAAGCCCACAGGCCTCATGGCTAAACTCTGAGTCCATTCTGGGCTGTGCTGCTTGGTGCCACGTTCCTGTATCTTTCTCTCAAACTGCAGCTACTGCATCTATTAGCCCCGAACTTGTGCAGGGGACTGTTTGAACCCACATGCTCAATCCTACCATTGGTCTGGTTCATCTCCTATCTTGGTACTCAAGCCCATTTTTGGGCCTTGTTGGGCCAAATATATTCCCTACATGTCATCTAAAGATTGGTTAAGTATTCACTAAGTTATCTATGTCTGCACCACTAGTAAAAATATCAGATGGAACCACGACTGCGGCCTTTCACTAGAAATTTACTTTCGCACTGACGTAGCTCAGCATCTTCGGGTATGGCCATAATACAATTTTAAATTCACCTATTACACATACCAGGCTGAAGTTACAATTACTTTGTCTTGTGCACAGATTTCTCATGAGATTCCTTGACAAATACTGAGCTGAGGTATGCTTTGCTTCTACCATAACTAACACAATTCCCTGACATGATAATCTAGCAAGCCTATCACAAAACTGGGAATATAGTTACCTTGTTGTGACTTGCTCTTAAAGAAGCCACATGGGCTTCTAGAGAATTCCCCATTTTTCACATGCTCACAAATCAACTTTAAGTAATCAACTGAAAGAGGTGGATAGGATAGCCCCACTTTTGGAATTTGTAGAATCATTCTCCCTCCCCATTAAGAAAAGCTACATTTTCCTATCTCAAGTGTTCCATTTTCTCTCCCAGTCTCCATGTTTCTTAAAGATTATCAGCAGAGACTCTACAGCGTCAGTGGTGAGTTCTCTACTCCCTGGAGTGTAATTTGTCCTGGCCAAGAGACTTGAGCTCATTTACAGCAGGTTGGTGCTTGTTATAATCTCTTTACTCATCTTGAACTTCAATTTTCTCTTACCACAGTTTTCTTTTTCTTTTTCATCAGTAGATTGCTCGCCTTGGCAAAGAAGGAGGAGGTAAAATTCTGCTTTCTCACTGCCATTCTAAAATGCAAATAACATCATGTTACTTGGTCTGCCACTCATGAGTGGTAGGTTCCTCTTTGCCCTACAGCAGTGACTCTCAAACTTCTCTGGGGTACTTGTTAAAAGGGCAGATTCTCCAAAGAATTCCTCTCTCAGAAGCCGAGTCAATTGCTGTATTAGTAAGGGTAACACTAGCTACAAAAGCAAACAAACCCCCAAATTTACAACTGCTCAGAAATGATAGACTTTTGTTTCTTATTCTCTTGAAACTCAAATATTGGTGTTTCAGATCAGTGGGTGGCCCTCTCTAAACAATAATGCAGAGACTCAGGGCTTCCTCAATGTTGTTGACCTGCCATCCTCAACATGTGGCTTCCAAGGTCTCTGTGCTCACCTGCATCAACATGGAGAAAAGGACAAGGTAATGGAGAACATTCAGGGTATATCTTAATGGGTCAGGTCTGGAAATGGCACATGTTACTTCCATTCATATTCCATTGACATAGGTGCCCTTAACTGTAAAGACTGAGAAATAGAGTCTAAATGCAAAGGAGGCTGGGAAATGTAGTCCAACTGCAAAGGAGGCTGGGAAATATAGTCTGACTGCATATGAAGCTGGGAAATGTAGTCTAGCCCAGGAAGAAGAGAAAATGGGTGAGGTCAACAATCTGCTGGTGTGGACATAGGATTGGGCTGGGGCGGGAGGGCGGCGGGGGGGGGGTGGCGTCTGCATTTTCACAAGCTTCCCAACTGATCCTGATGTAGGACCCCACTTAGAGCAACACTGCCCTGTGCACCCACAGTGTAGAGCCTCTCTAACCCCATGTGCACTCTCCACCCTTCTCTAATTTTATGAAGCACCAGCAGCTTCCTCAGCCTGCTCTGCTCCCACACCTCTGTGCTTGGCAATTCTTTTTCTCCTGCCCTTCCTCCTATTGTTCATTTGGCAAAATCCTGCTCATCCTTCAGGACTCAGCTCAAGTGTAATCTCTTCTGTACAGCCTTCCCTGACCCGCCTGCCCCCGAGTAATACTGGCAGTATCTCTTCTAATGTCCCTGCTCTACCTGCACTAAATCTCATTATGGTACTGATCCTGCTGAATGGCACTTGTTTATATGTGTGTGTGTCTTCCTGTTAGACTGGGAGATCCTTGAAGGCAGCAACCTTTTCTTTTTTTTTTTTTTTATTTTTTTTTTTTTATTTTTTAAAGATTTTATTTATTTATTTGAGAGAGAGAGTGAGAGAGAGAAAGAGCACAAGAGGGGGGAGCAGGAGAGGGAGAAGCAGACTCCCCGCCGAGCAGGGAGCCCGATGCGGGACTCGATCCCGGGACTCCAGGATCATGACCTGAGCCGAAGGCAGTCGCTTAACCAACTGAGCCACCCAGGCGCCCAGGCAGCAACCTTTTCTTAATTATCTTTGTATCCTCAGCACCTGGCACTTTGCCTGGTACATAGACTCAGTAAGAGTTTGCTTTACAGAAATTTTTAGTATTAGACAACTTCCCACCATCACCAGTCAGGTCCTTTCTTGATTTTCTGCTCATGTCAAATAAGAAAAGCTTTTTGGGGGGCGCCTGGGTGGCTCAGTCGTTGAGCATCTGCCTACGGCTCAGGTCATGATCCTAGGGTCCTTGGATCGAGCCCCGCATCGGGCTCCCTGTTCCGCGGGAAGCCTGCTTCTCCCTCTCCCACTCCCCCTGCTTGTGTTCCCTCTCTCGCTGTCTCTCTGTCAAATAAATAAAATCTTTAAAAAAAAAGAAAAAGGAAAGCTTTTTTTGTTATCCATACAATTTTGCTGTCCTCAGTAATTAGATTTAATTAGGTCTGTATGACTACTACACTGAGGCCCCCCCTCTCTCCTTTGCCAGCAAGGTGAACTATCCAATAGCCACTCTGCTTTCATCAACACCTCTCACCTTACCATTTTTCTTCAAGAACACTGGCAATTATACATTAAGAATTCTATCAATAAGAGTTCTTGAGCCATCTTCCCTTTAAGGGTCTCATGTCATATCCTCTGAAGCCTGAATTCCTGAAATCCAGTAAAATACATCCTACCGTGCCCACCCATCCCCTCTCTGCAAATCACGGAAGCTGAGATGACTGCTGTGGTAGTCAGCCTCCAAGATGGCTCCCAGTGATCCTACCTCCTAGTATTCACAGCCTTGGTCCCTTCTCACATTAAACTTCTGTTGGTCTAGATTGTTCATCCGAGAAAAAAAAAAAAAAAAAAAAAAGACATTGCAGTTTCTGCCTCTCTCATGCTCTCTCATGCTCTCTCTCGCTCTCACTCTCTCTCTCACACACATCACTCGCCATTCAAGGAGAAACTGGCTGCCATGTCTTGAGGCGTCCCTGTAAAGAGATCCACATGGCCGGCCAGGAGCTGAGGCCCCCAGCCAACAGCCATGCAAGTGAACTTGGACGCAAATCCTCCAGCCTTAGCAGAGCCTTGAGATAACTGTAGCCCCAGATGATGTCTTCCTGTAGCCTCATGAGAAATCCTGAGCCAGAACCACCCAGTTATACAGCTCCTGGATTCCTGACCTTCAGACACTGGGCAAGATAATGGATGTTGTTTAAGCTGCTCAGTTTGGGGGAAATTTGTATTTCCATAGCTAACTAATACACTTGGGCTTCTCTCTCTCATTCTAATTGAGTTTCTGGTCTCCTTTAGGTCAGACTTCACTGGCATGAGAGGTACAACCATCAGCTGGGGATGTCCAGAGCTTACCAGGGTATATGATTAGGTCGCAAAAAGGCACCACACAATATCCAACTTCAATTCTGGTTTTGAGATGTGTGTCCAGAATGAGCCAGCTATATCTGCCATCTAGCCATAGGTTGTGTCAGATTCCACACTGAGGACAGAGCACCTGCCCCTCTCTCTATGCGTCTGCATTAAAATTTTTAGACTCGGGATTCACCAATTTTTACATCCTTTGTTGTTAGGAATATAAAAAACAATTTTAAAAGGAAAGTTAATGGCTTAGAACAGTGTCTGGCTCACAGTGAGTGCTAAGCTAACACCAGATATTGTTGATATGTTCATCAGTACTATGTCATTATTTTATAGACTGTCGCCCCAACTAACATTTCTGTTGCTTTTGAACACATACACATCTACAACCATATGTCGCTCTTGATTCCCAGAAAAAAGAGTCTTGATTATCAGGGTGAGGTCATATTTGCAACCCTTTTAAAACCCTAAGTTCAGTTTAATAGGATTCGTCTGCAGACTGGTATGAAAATATGTCAGGTCCCAGATATTGTTCTGACTCTCTCCAAGCCCTCCTTGGTTTCTCTAACCCACTTCTTCTAATGTTTAAGTTCTAGCTGTTTTTAGTGAAATTTTACATTAGCCAGAACTCTCTGGCTAATTTTGAAATTGACCTAAAGCTACATTGACATTATCAAGGGTTTAGACGTTAGCCAGAAGATACTTTTGCTTTCTAGGAAAATTCACAGCCACCTAAAGAAAACATGTCTGATTGGCAGCCCTTTTCCTGAATTGGCAATAAGTAAATCTATAAAGGATTGAAATGTTTTTTTAATGAAATCGTCGGGTAAATATTTTTCAAAGGTTTAGAAGTAGTGAAAAATGTTAACATAACAGGCCTGTAGTGTTATACTTTTCCACATTTGTCTCCAAAGTCTAGAGGAGAAACCTTTTATCTCAACAATACTACATTCTTCAATTTATAACAGTCTCTGATTTTTAAGTACTTTCTATTCAAAACATCTTTTATTACCTAATACAAATGTGCCTTCCTTTATACAGTCAGGTAACCTAACTCATGTGCCCTTTTTTCCCTTAGAGAGCCTAACTGTAGAACCCATTCATCTTGTATGCTTGATGCCTCTAACCCCACCTCCTCCCTTTGGGTTCTGTCTGTTCTATTTCCTTCCTAAATGTCTCCTTTTGCCCCATGTTTTAACCTGTAAGTTGCTCAAGACCTCTTGAAAGTAAGCAGATGACAAGTCTTAAATAAATAAAAATAAATGAATGTGTTTCTGACCAGTTGGATATGAACGGAATTTCTAATAAATCAGCCACACATTAAATATCAAAGGGAAAAGTTCACTTAGGGAAGTCCATGCATCCTTTTTGTAATGCAAACTGGCAAGTTCTTCTGTTATATCATTTTGAATTTTCAAATATCATATTTTCTCACAGCAAGATGCACCTGGACCAGATGGTGATTTTTATCACAGACTTTGGGCTATATTTAAGGCCCTTAGTAAATATTCAATAGGTACCCTGAGTTCAGGCCCTGTTGCCTCTGGTTCCCTGAGGACAGAGCCTCTGGGACCAATGTGTTGACAATCATGTTTCCAGTGGGCATGACCTCACAAATTCCTCCTCCCAAACCCACTTCACAGGAAGAGTATGCAGCTTCACAAATTCTAGTAGGGATAAGCACAAAGATGAAACACGCAGTCACATATCCCAAAGTAGCTGAAACCATAGGTACTTCAAATATCTCAGACGCCAAGAGCATGTGGAGCTTCGTTCCCGACACCTCTGTCTTTGGGGAGAATAGTGAATTTGTCCCCTGGAGAAAGGGCTGCCTTTTGCTTGCGAACATGACAGGTAGCCTCAGCTTTGGGGATATGGAGATAAACGGCAACTCCTCAGACAGAGCTCTGGACCTGACCATGTTCATTAATTAGCTGATGAAAATGGGTTTTGCTGCCAAAGGCTTAGCACTGTGGTCCCTCTGCCTCCAGCTGTGCTCCCCCCACAGCCCATGTGGACCGTGACACCCTCTCGGGCAGCCTGAGTCCTGGCAGAGGGCAGAGAGCATGAGGGTCTCCATCCTGGAGACAGTCAAAGCAGGGCAGTCACCTGCCCTGGATGGTCAATGTCCTGCCTCTGGCCCAATTCAGAGCTTCAAAGTGACCACACTAATGACATGGTCCTGGTCCTAAGTTCTCCTGAAAACTCAGAGGGAGATAAAAGACAGTGGCACCAGTGGATTCTGTAGTCAAACAGGGAGCAGGCAGGCCCTTTACCTCTTTATTCTCAGAAACAGCTCAAAAATACGTGTACGCAAAGAACTATCAGAATTCTACCTTCGCTCAAAAGTCTCCTGAATTTTCCCTTTAGTGAACCTGCTTCAGTGAGTGAAAGAAGTCTCTAACACTCAAAAAAAATAAATGCTCCTTACAACCTATCCTACCAATCATTTAGGTTTTCTTTTTGTACTCTCTCACGGGGGAAACATTGGTCCCCTCTTAAATATGGAAAAAGTAAAGTGAACAATTCACCACCCAATACATATGTATGGAGCAACTGTTAAATCCATTTCTTTGACCATCGTGTTTGAAGAATCACTTTATCAATGGGAAGAGTAGAATGTGCTCTCTCTAAAACGCCCAAGCAGTGCTTCCTGTCAGTTTGGGAGTCAGAACCACCCAGGAAAATTGTGAGTGGCTCTGTCTAATTAGTACTTCTGCCACCTGCAAAAAAAGTAGTACTAAAAAAAGGTGCTGAATTCCTGCCATTGAGAATGAAAAAAGAGAGAGAGAGAGAGAGATACCACTGGTTTTATTCTGAATCTTAGGCTCTAATCATCCATTGATTTGGGCAGAGAAGGAAAACACACTTTCATTTCCACCCAAAGGAAATGATTGCTAACAACGAGTTATGTTTCAGAAGCTATCATACCATGAGTCCCCCAGTCTGGGGATCCTACCTCCTCTGCCCTCCTGGCCCCTGCCTTCTGCTCTGGCTAGTCTGGGCTCCTCAGCCTCCCATGAAAACCTCCTCACTCCTCAGGTCCAATCTGAAACTGGCCTCCTCCAGGAAGCCATCCTGACCAGCCCAGTTCTTCCAAATCATCCCCTGGACCCTACAACACTTAGAGTCTTTCCCCCCCAACTAAGCGCTAAGTTATGTTTCTTGGTAACAACCACTGTTACCTTTAACCTCTATCAAGAACCAGAACCAAGTATTATTGTTTGGCTGCCTTGAACCCTTTTGTGAAACGAACTACCTTATACCTTCCCTGTATTCTGGAGCACCCAGCACAGAGCTGCACCCAGCGGCAGGAGGTCCTCAGCAAATGGCTGACTCAATGATGAGCATGTGCCTTTGTGATGCATCAAAGGGCAGGGTGGCTACAGTGAAAATTCAGCAGCTGTGACTTCTTGCTTCCCACTTTAATCAACACCATGGGGTTGAAATGCTGGACACACAGTAGGTACTAAATATATTTTTATGGATTGATTAACCACTGGGGTGATGACTTGCCTAGGATTTTTTTTTAATGCTTTTGATGTTAAATGGGGGTTTTAGTGGAGAATCATGTTAGAAAAACAAAACAGCAAATACAAAACCCCAACCAGCAGAGAGGCTGGCTCCTATTCTGTTTACACCCACTACACTCCTAGAAACAGATGTCCTCTCAGACCTGAGTGTTTCTGATGAGGCGTCCACTCTTTTAAGTGACCTGCGCAGTCAGTAATCAAAGAGATGTTTTGCCCTCTTCGACATCAGTTCCCTGTATCCCAAGACTGATTTCCAGTTCTGGGTCCAGGACCAGGGCTGATAAAGGCAAAATCAGCATCCACTGTGTCTATTTGAAGGGAAAATCACCAGGCTAATGACAAAAGAAATTGCATTCGTGTGTTGAGGAGCCAACCAGCCTCCAATTCCAGCTTGGCCATTTCCTGGATATGTGATTTCAGGAGATCACCTACCCTCTCCTGTGACCTGACTTTTGGGACTGGTCACACTAATTCCACAGGTTGTTGTGATGACTAACAAGATTTCATGGGTAGAATACTTGGCGCAATGCTTTCGATGTAGTAGCCACTGAGTAAACGAACGTGTTGCTGTGGCTATCATTATAAATGTAAATAAGGAGAGAGGTCCATCTCAGCCACAGTGGGCACTCCAGGCAATCCTGGTGTGGCTTCCTCTAGTGCCTCTCTAGGGCACAGTAGTGGCTTTTCGAGTACAAAGCCCCGGTCTGATTGCACAAGTAACAGGGGAATGAATGCTCTAGAACATTCCAGTCTACTTCCCTGTGCACCGCCAGTCCACACCTTCACATTCGTCCTGATCCCAGAGTTTAGCTTGGGGCATCTCTGTCAGGACAGAGAGGGCTGCCTTTTAAAGCACATTCCACAGGGCAGATCCTGTGCTTCATGGAGAAATTTGGGACCAGGACAGAAGTTCCCATGTGCAACATCCAACAAATCCCACTTACCACGCGAGAGATCCTTGCCAACCATGGAACATATTCCATATGCCACAGAGCAGGGCAGGGCATAACCCAGAAGAGATCACAAACACCAGCAAGATCTGTGGAGAAAAGAGAGGAGTTCCCTTACACAACACAAAGCAGATCCAGCGTATGTCGCCAAGACCCTGGGGGAACTGGGGCAGATGACACGAACAACAGTGCTCCAGATGAAATGGAGCTCATGTCTAGGCCAGAGCAGATCCTTCATAGGCAGCTATGTCCAACTCCCAACAGCTCCCAGCAGAGCCAAGCCCCACTGCAGAGGAAGATCTGGGCTTCAGACTGTGGAAATCCTTATTTGCATTCAGGCTCTGGGGATGAAAGAAGGGTGGGCTGGAGGGAGGGTAGACAAGCCCTCTGTGATTCTAATTCGCACAGCTTTTCCCATTCTACTGACAAGCCAAGCCGGCCCCCCACAGCGAGCTGCTATCTAGTTTGAACCCTGGAGCTACCGCAACACTCTGGGACTGGCACCCTCACACAGAGACCAAAGGTGGTCTTCTTCTGTGTAGATGGGGATACAACAAGGCTTCTCCCCTCTGATAAGGCCAGCAGGGAAACTGGGAGAATCCTCATACCTTCACCTAGAGACGCCACTGAGGAAGGATTCGTGGAGTGTGTTTTTCCTTCTTTCATTTGAGGATCACTCAAAATGATCTCTAAGACATTATGAGTGCCTCAAATTGCCAGAACTTAACCGATCCTAGACCGTGCAAACCTTAGCTACACTTCCATGATGCCCACAGCTACACTGTCGGGTACGGCGCTGCTGCAGAACGTAGCCCAGTGGATTCCTACATGTTCACACGTGGGGGGTCCATGTGGATCATTTCAGAGGGTGGCTTCCTACAACAGGAATGAACACGGACTCACCTTGTGCCTTTACTCTCTTTGTCTTTGCCTTGCGTTGCTTGAGGTGTTACCTGTTGTTACCTGTTACCTACCTTTTAAAAAATCCCAAGTAATCCCCTTTTCTCCATTTTCCTATCCACAGCACTCTTCAATCACTGTTTATACACCATTTTAACAACTTAGCATTCAGGCCACATCTTCTCCTTCAGGTTTGTTGAGGACCCTTGGGGAGCTCTCCTTCCCCTACTCCCCCACTACACCCCTCTGTCACTCTCCCCAAAAGACACACCACTTTTCCCAGCTGACCCCCTCATCCAGGGTGGAGTCCTCCCCACGGTGCTTTGCCCTGTCCCCTCCCCTGTCCCCAGGCTTCACACACCAAAACTTTATTCCATTTTTTTTCTTTTTCCAGGAAATACAGTTACTCTTACACCAATGTGCCATTTCCCTGGTGTCCTCATTCCCTGTCACTGACAGTCCTCCTGCTACCCTCAGTAGATTATTATTATTTATTATTTATCAGCCGCCACACTGTACTCTGCTTCCTACAAGATGTTAAAGAAGACACCAATCCCTGCACTGAGTTTACAGCCAAGGACAGCAAAGGCCTGGATTCAGACATCACAGGAGTGAAGCGAGCGCAGGGGATTTGCGGACCGAGGGCTCCCTATGCCCGGCGCCCCCGGAGGATGAGGGCGGGCCCCGCAGGGCCCGCTCCAGGCCCGCTCCTCCCAGTTCCAGCCAAAGAGCCAGCAGCTCCCTGGGAAATGGCACATTGGTGTAATAGTAACTGTATTTCCTGGAAAAAGAAAAAAAATGGAATAAAGTTTTGGTGTGTGAAGCCTGGGGACAGGGGAGGGGACAGGGCAAAGCACCGCGGGGAGGACTCCACCCTGGATGAGGGGGTCAGCTGTATGTATAATGTATAAACACATTACCACACCCCCTCCCCAATTGCTACCCAGGCCTCAGGCCTCTGCAGCTCCGTCAGAGGGAGCGGAGGGTGCGGGGGTGAGGAGAGGAGGTTGAAACCCACAAGCCCTTACCTTCAGGCTGGCGGTAGGGGCTATGTTTCCTCTGAAATTCAAAACCAGACGAGGGGGAGGTAGGGGAGGAAGGAGAGGTCAGGGAATAAAAACCAGAGCTGGAGAGTTACCAGGGAAGACTGGTGCTGAAATGGAATGTTCTGGCATAATGGAAAATCCCGCACTGGGGGCTGCCACGGGCCTCCAGCCAAACTCTTTCCTATTAGGGTTGACATTAGGGTCTGTGTGGACAGCAAGTGTAGACAGAGAGGTAAAGGGGCTAAGAAAGTCAGTGTAGACCGTGGTGGTATGTGTGTGTGTGGGGGGGGGGTTCTCAATGTAGACATGCAAGGCTGGTGTGGCCTGAGTAGGGGCTGACTAAACAGAGAGGTCGGGTGGATTCGAGTGGGTCAGTGTAAACAGGAAAGTCCTCGTGCAATGGGGAGAGTCGAGTCTGGACAGACGAGAGGGTCGCTGGACAGGATGGGCGGGCTAGTCGCTGTTCTTCAGATTTGAACAATTCCTGCTTCTTTCCGTGGCTGGAGTGTCCTAGGGAGGGCGGAAGCTGAAAGACGATTGGACTTTTCGTGCTCAAACTTTCCTGCCAGTTTTCTCAGGTGTTGAGAGCAGCCGGGGAGCTCCCTCGGCCGCGTCCCCCAACCCTGGGCCGGCGGGGCCGGGAGGCCGGGGCCGAGCAGCCGGGGCCACGCGCCGCGCATCCA